ATTGCCTGGGAGGGAAAATATTTTATCCACACAATGTCAGCTTATCAGGAATTGAGAGAAACAGCCATGTTTTCGTTTCCATCTCAGAGACCATATCAGGACTGTGAACGGCACTGCGAACAGCTCAGCGGTGATTTTTAGGATTTATGAGTTGTTTATACCATAAAACAAACAGCCCATTCTCTGTTTTTTATTATTATTTGTGCTCACAGAACACTCAGTCCTGTTTCTGCTGGAATTCATTCCAGGAAAAGACTTAATTCACTCCGTCTTCGCCATCAGGATTCATTACATCAATCATGTTGGTGGAAAATAACAACCATGTACTGAATGTTTTAGCAATCTGATATTTTGTTTAATTAATTATTTTCTAAATTAGGAGTTTAAAAGAAAATGTGGAACTCTTTCAATATATCAGAACATCTTTCTGAAAGATTTCCCATGTCTGCCTTTGCCCCCAGATTAAGCCCCCTTCTGATCATCTGGATTTTTTAATCCACTGATATCTCAGCTACCCTCATTCAGAGATAAAAGGATCCTGGTATGGGATGAACCAGAGGACCAATTAGCACAGAAACTATTTTTTTTATTCCTTCAGCCTTTTTTACTATGAGCCTTACAGGATCTACAGTTGGTTCCAGTTTTTTTTTTTTCCCGATTCATATCTGAATATTCCACAGATTAACAGAGTTAAACAGAAATTAGGATTAAGCCTTATTTCACCAACCATGGAATAAAACATCTGTGGCAATCATAGTAACCAACTCTAAAAAAGTTCAAATAAAGATTATATTTTCGCTCAACTTTGGCCACCTAAGTCTATTTTTGCTTACAGTGTCTTTGTGATAGTTTTGATTTAAAAATGTAGGCCCTTTGTTACAAGAGGTCTATCGATGTTAGAATTTACCTTTTTTTAGTTATAGTCAAGATTATTTCTGACTTGCTGCTGGCTAAAAACATTGCAGATCTCAGCATGGTGTGAAATGTGCGATCAAAATTTAAAGCACTAAATTCTAAATCCATCCCCAGCAGTTTAATATTGTCTGTAAGGTATGATATGGAAAGGGAGGAAACATATAAAGCAAGATCACAAAAATATAAAGCAGGTCCACATGGATGATGAAGAAGCTAAATGGTCTAGCAAACCAAAATCCCACTCTAGAGCAAACTAAGAATCAGAAACAAAGGAGAGATTAAGTCCTGGACAAGCCTGCAAGTATTAGACTTTATCAGCATTAAAACTGAGGATATTCTTAGTTTGTCATATTATCCTAGAAACAAACACTATTTGAATACCTACATCTTTTTCTTTCAGTTTTAAGTGAAATGTTTAATCAAAACTATGCTTTTCAAAATAAGAGTCTACAATTTCCACCAATCAGATCATTAAAGTGGACATTGATTTATATTTTTTCTTCACTAATTTGCTAAACGGATGTACGTAAATAGCAGGAGTTAAAAATGTACAAGAATTACAGTTGATCTGGTTATTATTGTGATTTTAGGATTTTAAGTATAACAAAAGAAAATCTGAAAAAAAGTGAAGGAGAGCGTCATTGTCACACATCAAAATAAGTTATTGTTTCTGGCAGCTAATCTGAGATGATTCATCTTTGGATATTCGATTTACAGAAGCTGAAAGCTTTTAATGAGCGTTACGGCCATTAAACACGCTAAGGACGTGTTGGCTAATATCCCATCAACCTTAAGATCCAGTTACAGGATGAGTTAGAGCCCACCTGGGATTCCCTGGGTCTACATGTCTAACTGAGGCAGCTGCCCTGGAGGGCCGATGATAATACTCCATCTAACTGACCTCATTAGGACGCCAGAGTTCCTTTACCTTCTCCATCTCTGCTGCTTTCAGAGTAGATGAGAAAGCTCCTTTCATTCTCCATGCGCCGCTGTGGAGTGTGTGTGTGCATGGGCGAAGGCAGACATTATTAAGGCTTTAATGGCAAACGAAGCCTGACAGGTGCTTCTCTTACAGAGATAAAGAACCCATGGTTTAATGATGGTGTGGCTCAGATTGTCATAACTCACAACAAGGCCATTAAAGCAATATTACCGCAAAGATCTGAGCCATACAGACTCAACTTTCCAACTAGGTGGCTTCACGTGGAGCTTTGCTCTCATTTTTCCTCCTGTTTTTGCTGCTTGTCTTAAGAGAAATGTTAACTGTATGCATTAAAAGCGACATCCACAACAAAACAAGCTCTGCAGCTCTTTCCAACAAGAAAAAAAATACGGATGTGTTTAGGAACCAAGAGTGTAACTTTGTAATGAAAGTTGGTGACACTCTAAGGCTGGCTGCTGATAGACCTACAGGTACTCGACACAAACACGTTCAATAGGGTTTGTGTTTTCCAAAAATGAGCTCAAACATATATTCATTAAATGTTTCCTATTGTTGAGAACACAAAAGAACCAAAATACACTGATATTTATATTTATAGGTAGGTAGACATTAATGTAAATAAAAAAGAATGAATAAAAGCCGATTCAGATGCCAAATAGCAATATATCATGCCTCCCCAGTATGGACACAATTTCATTTTCATTCCTCCATCCATCCATCCATCCATCCATCCATCCATCCATCCATCCATCCATCCATCCATCCATCCATCCATCCATCCATCCAGAAAAGTGGGGATTGATTGATGGATGTTTTCCCTTGCAACTACATCCTACATCAGTGATTATCCTCCTTCAAAAGCAACCAAATCAACTGTAGAAATTTGCCCCACATATTGCTGAAAGCCAAAGTCTATGTATTGAAATTATTGGTGGGGACATACCCACACCAGTCCTTCAGAAAGTTAGGCCTATGCATGAAACCCAATTTCCAATCAAGGGTTTTTCCATGCCAGGACCTCTTTATTATTTTCTGCCGTGAGCAACAGCACACAGCAGGTTCAACACTTTGATTTGTTCATTTGTGCAACAGCTGGCGGTCAGCTTTAGCGCCAGTTAGTGACTATCGATATTATAAGGATTTACCCTGCAGCCACATCATCCAGACCATCAAAAGCAACCCAGCAGTTGAAACTTGGTACAGAATGGGCAATAACAGAAAAGATTATCTACAAGCAAAAAGCTGAGGAGAAAATGATTGAGCTGTGACAATGGCCTAGTCAAAGTCTTGTTGGAACCTCGCCAACGAGAAATCCTAATGAGTGTGAGGAGCATTTGATCCCCTAATGAAGTGACTGTTGCAGCAGGAGGTTCTACAACATGCTAGATTCAAATGGTTCCCTGGTTCTGAAGGATGGGCTGTAATTAGAAATTATAACAATCATTAACTTAAAAATTGGGTAACAATAGTGAGACATTTTAAGAGACTTGTCAAACTTAACATCTACTTTTTAATAATCTAATTACCCTAATCATCAATGTTCTCCATATAAAAAAAATCCTATTTGACACTTAATTATAAAAATAAATCACACAACACCAAAGCAATTCAAGCATTCCTTCTAAAAAAACTTTGAAGTAACATCAGCAGCAGACTCTGAATCAGAGAAATATATCTGAAACAAAGAGGCTTTCTGTGCTTTGTGACCGTGGCCCTGTTCTCTACAGTGTTGTTCATAAAAACATGTTTTACACCAAACAAAGAGAAACAGATCAGCTGCACTCAGAGCAGATAAAGTTCACCACCTCCCTCTAGCGGTCAGTATAGGACACTGCAGCTCTGTGAGGAACAAAGGAGGAAACAAAGAGCAGCTCAGACCTGTTGCAGGTATGATGAGAGATTTTTCTCTTCATTTCTTCTCTGTTCGAAATGCATGGTGCTGTGCTTTAATGATTATGTTTCTGCTGGAGAAAGCAATGAATCTAAAGATGAAGTAGATGAAATCTGCAACATTTCATCATATTTGATCTCAAACTTCATTTGATCAGCTAATTAATTAGAGAAATCCTGTTTAAGGTTTAATATATTTTCCTATAGAATTACATTAACACAGCATTGATGTTATTTGTATTAAATATTTTGAATATATCCTTTAAATTCAAACATTTTTTTCAGGAATAATTTCTTTTACTGGACCTTATTCTGGCATACTGAGCGAAAATGAAATTGTTTATCTTACATAATCCAAAAAAAAAAAAAAAAAAAAAAAAAAGTTGAAATGCCTTAATTTAACTGAGCATTGGTTCATCTACACCTTTATACAAATGCGTGACATATTAAGAATGTCAAAACTAGGATAACATTTTTCTTCAAAAAAAAAATGCAACAACTAATTATCTGTTTTTGGGAAAATTTAACTGGATTTGTATCAAAGTAAATATGTTTTTATTGGAAAGAGGTTTAATCTTTATCTTGAAACCAGGAAACATGAATGAAAACTGATAATATAAACATGTAAATTAATCAGATCTTTTTTTTTTTACTACTTATCCTAAATCTTTACTTAATAATAATAAAACTTGATCCTTCATCAGAGCTATTGACATCATTTCTGCAGTTTTTCTCACAAGCTGAGCAGCCATTGCTTCCAAGCAGAGAAAAAGACCCCAAAATGGTGCAGAGACATGGCCCTTTATGGCTAACAGAGCTATATAGCTTAATAGCTTATAGATATATATTTATTTAAAATGTAAACACTTTATATTAATGATCTGTTTTCATTATGTATTTAACACAATATGGATACCAATAATGTCAATAAACCTTGCTTTTCTTAGAAGGCAGTAACCAAAATGCTGAATATAAAAATACTAGATGAATTATAGAGTTAAACAGCTTGGTCTGACCATTTAGCGAGAAACTGGTCAGTTTGGTGTCTTACTCACCTTTAATTAGTCACAGCTGAAATATTGTTAATTGTGGATTTAGAACAATCTTAAGGTTCCCATAAATAAATAAATGCGATAAACTGAATCTGACCAGGTTGAAATGAATTAGATGTAACCCTGTTTTACTCATCCAGTGCTGAATTAAATAGTAACTGTCTGATTTGAAGGAGACCTGCAGGGGGCAGAGCTGTAACCCACCTGGATGACCAGGGGCCACACCCTGCCTCTGTATCTACCTGGACATCATTCCTGCAGATTCTGTTTCCACTCATCAGCTGAGTGGAAAGTTTCTTCCTTTTGCAGCCCCGAAGCCCTCAGCATCCTCTGGGTTTATCATCTGTTAAAAGGTAAAATCTTTCTTCCAGAATCAGATCTTTGTCATCCATTTTCTCTTTTTTGCTATTTGAGGAAAACAAACTGTTTTTTTTGACAGAATAAAATGAGCTGCTTCACATTCACCAAACTGCTGACGGTTCTCCTCCTCCTGCTTGTCTTTGTGAGTATGATTCTGCTCATGTTTTACCTTTCTGCCTTGTTGCTTTGACACCATTCAACGTGAACATAGAGGTTGCACCAACATCTCAGTGCACAGAGACAGCAGTGATTCTTGTTCTGCTCCATTTTCTTCCCAACTGGATCATTTTCATCTCATTAACTTCAAAAGGCTCCAGTGTCTGAATATCTGCCACCTAGTGTGGATCATCTTCAGTGTTTGGGAAACATTCCTGGCAGCAGGGAGCTGAGTTTTCCTGCAGAGTCCGAACCAGCTGGACTCTGATGAAGCTCCCAGCATGAGGAATATTTCCCTCTCTATTCCTCTGCCTGAACATCTCCCGCTGATGAATTTGGTTGATCGGCTGTAGAAGTCACAGCAGGAAATGTTAGACTCCAGAGATGATGTGACTGAGAGAGTTTTAGACTTTCTTTAAATATTTGAGCCTCATATTTGCAGTGAAATGAAGATTTTATTCATCTTATGACCAGAAGCTTTGAGTTTAATGGCCCCAAATAATCTATAATTATGTTTAAAGCTTTAAAACGAGGCAGCTTTGCTTTTAAGATAAAAGCAATTCAAACATTTTGGTTTCAGATGTTGATAAAGTTAGTGACTCAGATATTCTGACGTAGGTGTAATAATTGTGTAAACGAAGATGGGCGTAGACGTGTGTATGTACATATATACAAAAACATGTTTATTTGCTCACCTAATGGACCTTTGGAGCAGTATGGACTAGTAAGTGAAATAGGAATCGGGGAATATTGCTGCTGTTATGCACTATATAACTATATAACAGACTTAAGCACTAAATTATACATATAACTATTAGACAGGTTATTAATCTTAGTATTTCCATGTCGAATCTGTAACAAAGAATCATTTTTGCATTTTTATTAATTTGTTTGAAAAAAATGTTTTATGCATTCATCATTTATATAATCCATTCATCTTATTAATTTCATAATCAAACAGGAGCCTATTTACATAAATAAAGGAAAAACTTAACACAGGATACAAAATTTGGGAATAACAGCTGATTAATGTGGAGTTGTTTCTCTCTTTATATAGTCTGAGTTTGTTTTGTTTGTTTAATATCTAGTGATATACACTCACCGGCCACTTTATTAGGTAC